TTCAGATTTATTGTGAAAATAAATAAGTCTAGTCAGCATCACTTCAAATCTCTGGGTTTTCATTTCTTGGGCACTGAATCCGAGACAGACAGAACCCCATCAGATGAACCCCTCAGGGGCTCACGACTTGTGAGTACGGGAATGGCAATCCCGAGGTACCCTAGCCGGATACTCATTGATCTTCAACTTTTCTTTGCTGGTATCCTCTTCACTCTTCAGTTTCCAATCTTTTTCTTCATCGGCCTCCCTTGGTCACTTCTCCTCTTTTCCTTCTCCCCTAAAGCCCAACCTCACCATAGTGCGGGGAGGACAAGCCGCGGCTGCTCGGCAGATTGAGCATTTTGGGAACATCTTTGCTGTCATCACTCAGATGGAACAGTTTTGTGGAGATCTGAGTGCGAGGATGGGGCAATTTGTGAACATCTGCTTATGTGGCCGCGGATTGATAACGAGGCTCTGGCAATCCCCTCAGGGGCTCACAACTTGTGAGCACGGGAATGGTGAACCCGAGGTACCCTAGCCGGATATTCACCATACTTCAACTTGTCTTGGGTGATATCCTCTTCTCTCTTCCGTTTTCAATCTTTCTATGGACCTTTCTTGGCCAACTTCTCTTTTCCTCTTCTCCTCCAAGCCCAACCTCACCATCAAGTGGTGTGGGGAAGGCAGGCCGCGGCCGCTTGACAGATGAAGCATTTTGGGACCATCTTTGCTATCTTCTGCCAGATGGGACAATTTGTGGACATCTGTGGCAGGGATGGAGCGATTTGCTGATGTCTGTCTAGGTGGTCGAGGACTGGTCAACGAGGCTCTGGCAACCTAATCCAAGCTGTGGGAACCCGTGGAGATGGATGGATGGCGCCGAGGAATGGTGTCGCTAACGGAGCCTCTGGGAAACAGGGCGACATCCCGGAGTAAACAGCCTTAGCCCTGTGCAGGGGGCACCACAGGGCTGGACCAACCCCTTCCCCGTCACTCGTAGAAGAAGGAAAGCTTTTGGCCTTCTTCGTAGACGAGAACAGGGATCGGAATAGCAATCTTCAGGGACCTGAACGAGAATGGTTTTTCATATTGAAGTGGCCCCTAATAGGCACCATGAGTCGTATGTGGTAAAATTGATAACGGCATGTAGGTGAGATACAATGGGCCACTAGGCCTAAGTGTCATCGGAGCCTACAACGGGGTGGAGTGTTTAGTGGGTATACCATGGAGGGGACTCCCACACTATCATATGGGGGATTGGACCCATATGATGTCTATAAAAGATTTCAACCATTTCGGCGAAAAAAAAAACCCAGATGAACTTTTTTTACTATTTTTGTTCCTGGAATCTGTGGTTAAAATCTGTTTATGTAATTTCGGGACACCCTGTATATGTCAATAATATTTAGAATACATCCATTTCTCGAAGTAGAATCTTGAAATGAATAGAATCAAAATAAAATTCTAACGTGAAGGGTTCCTCATTGTTTTCAAGAAATTACTAAATTTTATCTGACAACCGCGCCCAAAACCATTTTACACCAAACCATGCTGATAGCTGCGAATTTATCGAAGGTATGTTCTCATTGTTTATTGTTGTTTACGGTTTTTTACCTTCTTCTCAATTCACGGTTTATTATTATGTGTTGTTTTCGTTGTGTTCGCATTTGTTGGTTGTGGTCTATACATAGTTGCTGTGATTCGAGTAGAAATTTATCTCTGTAGACTAATTAGTTTGTCAGAATTGTAATTTTTTCAGATATCACTGATGATAAGCGATAAGCTCACATTTCATTCATTTTTCAGGATATACTTATAGTCATGATATCATCGTATATCATTATGAGTAAGCCTTCTAAAATAGTGAAATGTACATTTTTTCCTTCATTTTTTGTTCGGGCTTGTTTAAGAGATTTGTATGTCACAGCCAAAATTATTATACCCATATATGTTCACACTTGATTCACCGTTTACATTGACGTTTGAAAAAAAAATGATTTGAATCATTTCAATTGTCATTATAAATTGCAGAATCATAATCTTTATCAGTGTGAAACTATTTTGATGAAAATTCATTCCAAGAAGAGGGAAGGGGCGCATCTAATTATGAGGCTGATGATTAGGGATGCAAGCGGCGTCACTGAGTCACTGACACAGAAATGAGTTGTCTATGTATGGGTGTTTCAAATTGCCATATCAGATTTCAGGGTCTCACTTTTCATGTCAAAATAAGACGTTTTTTTCATAAATATTTTATAAAAAAGTGCCGAATGATACATGAATCTACAGGGATATATTTTTTCAGGTGTCAAGGCCTTTTTTTGCTCCATAAAACTTTTGTGGTTCGCCGTTGGTAGACGAAATGAATCATTTGTTTTATTTATAAACTTTTTCGCCCCCGCTAGATTTGATTAAAATTTTCAACATATTATCATAATGAATGGTTTGTGATCTAATTTACAAGTTTTTAAAGATTACCTGAAAAATAAGAAACCTAACGATCCTTGACTTTTTATAAATGGTGCTGGAATATAAAAAATATCATGAAATTTTAACGTTCTATAGATCCGTAACGAAGCGTTTGCGGTTTTTAGGAAAAACTATTTTTATTTTGACCTGATCGAAAAATAAGCCGATGGAATCTTGATACTTGACTTTCGAACACCTTGTATAATGTTTCTTTCATTCAGGAGACATCATCATTCTAAAGCAAGTTCCAGAACACGTGATTTACTGAATGCACAATCAATATCAAACGACATCAATTCGCCACTGCATACATTCATAGGCATTTTCACCTATCTTTCAAATAAATAAAGCAATGTGAGCTTTGTTAACTACTATTGAATACGTTTATGCCAAGATGATGCAACCAGATTATCAATTGCTTTTAGAAATGAAGAACATTTCTACTACATATACACTTCTTTTGCTTTTATTCAGTTTAATAAAAATACCGTTATTACTAAACATTTGGAATAATTGACAATTGAGTCATTACTGATGAAATTTTTATCATTACATAATTTATTTATACACGTGTCCCCCATACTATTTCGATTTGTCGCCATGTAATAATTGTCGAGAAGAGATACTTTGCAAGTTTTCTGGACAAATTTCACGTATAATGTAACAGTTGCTTATTGGTCTTCAAAAATAATAATGTTTTCATGTTGTGAATGTTCTTTTACATATGTATTATTCCCCAGTTGACGGAAACCAGCTTCAACAAAACTTCATCTTAATGTTTTATAGAGTTCCTGATGACGAGCCAATAAAGACTTGAAAGCTTGAACAGAAACAAAAGAGCACTTCGTTTCACTTAGGGCCACTAAAAAACTTCAAAACATTGCGTGCCAAGCCGTGATTCGGAATTGGCTATGGGGGGCCAACCACAGTTTTCTATTATTTGTGAGTATTTTATGTTGAAATGGAGGTTTGTTTGATACCCACCTGTTTTTTGGTAGTTTTTGGTTATATTTTTTTGGTTTTGTTGTGTCACTCATATATAAGAGACGTGGCCTCTCGCGTGGCCCTGTAGTAGGAAACAGACAAATTTATTGCTGGAGGCAACGTGATTCGAATATGAGCGACGGTTTCTTCAGTATTTTCTCTCTTGTTTCCTGGGTTCTCTATAAGCAGACCACCAAAAAAAACTCCATACGAGCATTTCAAGATAAATCAGCCGCAGACCTACTTGATTTGAAGAATTCGGACAAACCACAAAGGACTGAAACGGCAAAAGCATCTACTTCCAAAAATTTGTTTGACCTGTTTCAATGAGATATATTAATTTAATTTTTAGTTTGATTTTTCACCTCATTTTGTACGGAAATATAATAGTTTTGACTTTTGTACTACAAAGTCTTTAGGTTTTCAATTTTGCTCAAACCAAGATTCACATGGTTTTCTCCAGGGGCCACTCTCTACATTCCCCATTTAAAATGTACGGCAGCGTGATGCATTTATGAGAGACACGCACTGATAGAGTATATCTGTCTCTCACATATGAGAGACGAGGCACCCTGGGAAAGTTCAATGTCACTCATATATGAGACATAGCACGCAATATGTTAAGACTTGAGATTTATCAGCTAACATTTAAGGCGTATCTCTTATGACAGACGGAACATGGAAATAGCATTGGTTATGTTATGAAACCATTTAAAACTTGTGATTTTACATTGATTTAAGAAGACGACCAAGTGCTGATGAATGATCATAAATGGAATAAGGAATGTGCATTCAAAACTGACATCTCAATTTCCCGCCATTCAAAAATATCAAAAATATTCAAAATATCTCAAGTTGTGATGACATCTGATATAAGACTGTCTTGATTTACCACCTGGTCCCGAATGAATGACTAATAAGTTGAATCATGCTGCTAACCGATTAATTTCCGAACAAAAAATTATTTATCTATGCCTAATGTTGATAATGGAATTGTAAGGGGGGAGATATTTTGTATACAGGTGCTATTTTTTTTTTTTCAAAAATCACTAACGATATGGAAGAAATATATTTTTTCCAAAATTCTAATAGAAAATATGTATACTGAACCGTTCATCAAAAATCCACTGTCACCTCCATATTTCGTAAAAGATACAAGGAGTGAGCCAGTTTCTGTCAAGACAAGGAATAGTGATTACACTGATTACCGAGTTGTTTACTTTCAAAATAATGTGGAGTTATAATGGATGTGGATTTTTAGGAATATACATTAATAGAATATAATATTAGAACATGAAATTTTGATTTTCAACCAGTTTATAACTTACTATACTTGTATCTCTCTTGAATCTTAGTTTTTTTTATAACTGAATCCACTTAAGACTCTCAAGTCTTAAATGTTTAAAAGTTGAATCTTGAATACTAAAAGTTTTTATAAAGTCACCCTTAGAGTGCATACCCAAAGGAATTTACAGTTTCATCCTCAACATAGACAGTCGTCTAATGCTCACCTCTATCAACGCTTCAATGCATATGGTTTCATTCAATAATTAAGGCAAATACCTAATTCAAAGATTTTTATTGGCTTCAATCGAAAAGAAATAAATAATTCATGTAGAGACGATTTACTAAACGCCTCAATCAAGAAAATAAATGATAGAAATAACCAATATAGTACGTTTCACAATCGGAAAAACTTTCTTCTATAATAACAATACGCATGAAACTCAACATACATCGATTCCAGAGCTTCTGTTCCGAAACTAGACTACCAATATCAGTACCCCACCATACTCTTACGATGGCTTACGGAATGATTTACCGGCATATTTAGCGTTCGCCCCGAGCTCTTCTTCGATACGCAAGATCTGGTTGTATTTGGCCAACCTCTCGGACCTGCACGGGGCTCCGGTTTTGATTTGTCCGGTGGACAGCCCCACCACCAGGTCGGCGATGAAGGTGTCCTCGGTCTCTCCGGATCTGTGCGACACCATGGTGCCCCATCCGTTGGCCTTGGCCAAAAGGTGGGCCTTGATGGATTCGGTGACGCTACCGATTTGGTTCACCTGAAATTGTCGAATTTCAATACAGTGTTTTCGTAAAGTACTAAATATATTCATTTTTTCTGTGACGGGAAAAAAGTTTGGTATTTCATCTCTGTTGGCAGGTTATAAAATGATACTTTTCATAAATTACTTTTTTTCCCGGATATATATCACATATACAGTCTGTCCAAGATAAGGTTGCACAGCATGGGGATCTCGGAAACGGTAGGAGATACGAAGTCGGTTAAATGGGGAAAAAGTTGCGCATTCGGAGGCTCATACCAACAGCCTTCGAAAATTTTCAAAATTTTTTTTAGTTTTTCAGTTATATCGAAAAAAGTGAATTTTTGGAATCTCTATTTTATTTTATTTTTTTCGTTATTATTAGAGATACAGGAAAACTGAAAATACTTTTTCATAGCAACTTTTGATGACGTTTAACGTGGTGATACCGATTTTTCTATGCGACGTTTCGTATTCGTAGAACCATCATCAACTTTTGTTTTTTAAATACGGCCCTGATAATTCTTTCACAGATTCTGAAAGCTTTTTTATTCTGAATTCAACCATGTATTATACAAGGTGGTTTGAATGTGTTTAGAACTATTTTTAGCCATCATCAATGTTTTTTTCGAAATTCCAAAGGAAAAATGCGAGGAAAAATGCCATCAGTTTCACTTATTTCTGATTATTCAGTGTCAAACATTGATGGACTAGTTATTCAATACTGAAAAGTGAAAAAAAATCCACTACATTATTCAATGCAGCGCTTCGAATTTTTTATGAATTGTATTCATATTTTAATCCGAAGGAGCTTGTCATAATTAAATTTTTCGAACTCATTATTCCTATAAGTCTATCAATCGGAACTAGTTGATGAGTTATTAGTTTGTTGGCTAATTTTCCTTCAAAATAAGTGGAACTGATGGCATTTTTCCTTTGGAATTTCGAAAAAAACATTGATGATGGCTAAAAATAGTTCGAAACCCATTCAAACCACCTTGTATAATACATGGTTGAATTCAGAATAAAAAAAGCTTTCAGAATCTGTGAAAGAATTATCAGGGCCGGATTTAAAAAACAAAAGTTGATGATGGTTCTACGGATACGAAACGTCGCATAGAAAAATCGGTATCACCACGTTAACCGTCATCAAAAGTTGCTATGAAAAAGTATTTTCAGTTTTCCTGTATCTCTAATAATAACGGAGAAAAAAAAATAAAATAGAGATTCCAAAAATTCACTTTTTTCGATATAACTGAAAAACTAGAAGAAATTTTGAAAATTTTCGAAGGCTGTTGGTATGAGCCTCCGAATGCGCAACTTTTTCCCTATTCAACCGACTTCGTATCTCCTACCGTTTCCGAGATCCCCATGCTGTGCAACATTATCTTGGACAGACTGTATATACACTGTTGATGGCTTCTGTTCTGCTAGTTCCGAAAAATGGATCAATAATACCGTCTCCGAGAAAAAACTGCAAGTCCTTTTATCTTTCATTTGACTTCGCGGTTACGTATACTGGTACTGGTACTGGTGGGGGACGTTTCCACGTCAGCAACTAGTCCCCAATGGGACCTTTTTGCAAACCCCAAGTGTTTTCAATGACTGATGTGGTTCGCTCAAGAGAGCTGGCTAACATCCTTTTTCAGGCACCGCCCATCAGCTCTCTTTTTCAGAGTTTTTCAGCTGTGTTTTGTAGGCTAGTAATGTACTCACTACCATATGCGCAGTGGCAGGCCTGCTAACTATCATCGTTAACCCCCGAGACCGAGGTCTACTTAAGCAGCTGGCCCGCTCTCACGCTCAGCTGGTAGTTTTCCACACCCACCTACATACACCGTCCTACTTCCTCTCTGATGCTCACAACCACATCATCATATCTTTCTGCGTGTTCTGTGTAGGCTTTGTTACTAACTCCATGCGCCACTTTAGGAGCAGCACTGTTAATTGGAACGCAACAGCGAATCGTGCAGGACTATCCCCAGACGATGCTCCGAAACTTTACAATATTTAATTCGTAAATAAAATATTGAAATAAGTTCCTTGCCCGTGCTGGAAATCGAACCCACGACCTTGCGGTCGTGACACGGACGCTCTTCCACTGCGCCAATCCCGGCGAGGTTACGTATATTACTAAACAACCACTTAATTTGCAATTTTTTGAAATCAAATCACAGAATTAGACTGACAGAAGTGACACAAGATATTTGATTACTTCAAAAGAATGATAAAGATGCCTACAACGCAGGTGTCCCTACTGTTAAAAACTTAAAATTTCATGTCGATAATTTTCAGATTTCAAAATAATGTAATATCATCTCAAATGAATAAATGATCATTTTTTTCATTTTTTTTTAGCTCCAACCTAGCACCCATTGTTATCCATATTGTTAATTAACACCTATATGGTTCAACACCGACCTTCAACAGCAGTATATGGTTCAACACCCACCTTCAACAGCAAACAGTTGCAGGCCTTCTTGTCCACGGCCGTCTGGATGCGCTTCGGATTGGTGACGGTGAGATCGTCGCCGACGATCTGGATGGCCGTGGCGGCCGTCATGGCGCTCCACGCGCTCCAGTCGTCCTGGTCGAAGGGGTCCTCAATGGAGACGATGGGAAAGTCCTTGACGAAGTCCTGGTAGAGGGCGAGCAGCTTGTCGGGCGTCAGCCATTTGCTCTTGTCCGACTTGGGGTTCTTGAAGTCCAGGTCGTAGAGGCCTGCGATAAGGGTGGAGATTCATTTGCGAGCATATAAGGCTTCGAGGAAAACCAATAAAGACTTGTTATCCCGATGAGACAGATTTATTTCCTTTCAAACACGATCATACATTGCTGGATTCTGGTTCACTGTGAGATACCTATTAAAACTAATATGTATTGATAGTATAATAATTTAGAGTCACTGGATGGTATTAGTGAGATAAGAGTCCGACACAGAAATGACAACTGTTAGTGTTTTTGAATTATTAGATTTATCAAGTTACAGACCTTGCATTGTGACAAGAGCACCATAGTCGTCCAGCCATTGTCGTTCTAGATGACAACCTAGTTAGGTAGTTAGTAGGCAGGAGCTATAATATTGTCTGTTCATTGAAAAGACAATTGAAGAAAATATGTAGTTCAGAGACATCTACGTGAACTAAGTAAACTAAGTTATTCATATTTTATTCCTAACCCATAACATTTTTCATGGACTGTCAAGTTTGTAAATAAAAATCTGTCATGTTGAAACCCGAAAATGAAACATTATAACGAAAGATATTATCAAGTATGAAAACCATCTACATAGGCAATGCTGTATCAGGTTGACTTATGATGCAACTTGAATTTAAGTTGGAACTGTGGAAACTTCGGAAACTCATCAGTGCTTTTACACTTTTTCGACATGCAAGCCAAGCAGAAAGGTAGGGGCTGGTCATTTCCTTCTATATTTTTGATAAGTTACTATATAATTCATGGAATTCCGTTATTTGCAGTGAAAACATGTCTTAGTGATGTAAACTATGTACACATCGGAATCACTATACTTGAAAATTTCAGGTACCTACCTACAGCGAAGAGTTCCTACATGAATAACTTTTCAGTTGAAAAACGAAAAACTATGAGTGATACAAACAAATTGATGTGGAAGAATCACATCAGGAATCATTATGTGAGTAATGTTCAGAAAAAATGTACCAGAAGGATGATGATGTTTGAGAACAGAATGGAAAATTTCCCATCTGAAATGAATATATAGAAGCAATACGGTTAGACTCAATCTGTTTATTTCATCAATGTCTTATGGATATTCTGCTCCAAACCCAAAGTATCAAGATGCTGGGATATTTCGAATTTTTTTTATTGGAAAATAACTTGTATATGTACGAATGACAATACAAATATATTTTTTAATAAATTGAATATAATTATGAAGAATTATTGCAATTTTTATTCTACTAATTTGTTCTCCGCTGATACCCTGTTTATTGTTGTACAGATGTATTGGCAGGTAAGTTTGAAAACACTATATATATTGTACCAAAGGTATATAGGTTAAATATATGTTTTGCTGAACAATGATTATTTTTTATAAAATCATCTTATCCACTAACTTCACTAAATATGGGAAGATGTGTCTATAATTATTGCCACAAATTGAACCATAGGAATATTCAATACCAATATGTATAACTTTTTAATTTCCATAGGAATATTCAATACCAATATGTATAACTTTTTAATTTATATTAGGTAATCATTTTGAATAAACTTCATTATTATTTATTATCATTCTATAATATCTGTTCAAATGCCCGTTTCCTCATCAGATGCTTCTTAATCTTCAGGTCGTGTTCCTTAAGGAAGGAGTTTCTCTTCAGCATCATATTCCAAACTACATTGATGAGTCTGAAACTATAAAAATATTTGATATCTATTTTGTCCCCAGTTTCAATGATCTGTACCATTCTGAAATGAATTTAATGACTTTGGAACAATTTTTAGAGGTCCCAAAGTCAAGTTCTTGGTAATTTTTGTACTGAAATTAATAGTTCCAGTCAACTAGAAACTAATAAGCTGATTGCGACAAAGAGTTTGTATAGGTAGGAACTTGTTAAATATCATTTTATTTATATATACCTTCCTTTAACAAACTTGGAACCGAACCCTCCTTCCAAAACCGTTTCCAATTCTTCATTGGCAAGAAACAGTTCCCTTGAAATGTTGGAAACATACAATATCATATTCGCTCACTTCAAAAACTCCCATCCCTGCGATTCAAGAAAAAAATTTCACCTTGCAATCCAATGAATATGGCATAAACTCATTGATGCCTCAGGATTTGTGGCTCAAATTCACAACAGTGAGGATAGGGGAAACCAGGTCTTGATAATTTTACACCTCCACCTCCTGGAGTGCGAAGTTTTCAGATAACATTGCAAAATAACACAATCGCACTCACAAACCAATCAACAAACTGCAATAGAAAACCAATACTAGAAGAAATAATTAAGAATAATTGTAATTTTTCAAGAATACGAGTTCAAAGTATAACATTTATTCACAAAGACGAAGTTATAAGTTAATGACAACTGTCAGAAAATAATTTTTTGATTATGACATCTCAATCTCATGAAAGAATCTTCTTCATCGCCTTTGTATCAAATATCACGTCAATGATGGAAAGCACATCTGTGGTTGAGTACATATTGGAAAAAAATAGAAGAAGAGAATATATCAACCTAATATGGTCTATTTTGACATAAACAAATGAGCTCTTTCCAATTTCTCTGCCTCAGCGCCACTTGACAGACAGACATATTTTGATTGAATGAACAGACAATATTATACCTCCTCGCACTAGGTCGCCTACTAGGTTTTCATTTAGATCGACAATGGTCCAGCACTTCTTCATTCATAATTGTTTGAATTTGACAATGAAATTCATGTACGTCAGAATTGAAATATAATTTTCCAAAGGAAATAGCATCCATTTTTATATGGAAGCAATGTATGAAACCGCCTGGATGGAAAATTAATTTGAAGACAAGTAAAAGAATCAGGTACATGGTACATACAGTCGCATTGAAAAAAAGCGTACAAGTATATTACAGTGAGAAATTAACGTCATCCTATTCTGCATAAAACGGGCTATCCGGAATAATTGTTCACCAAATGTTGACAGTGAAGTTGTCATAGGTTCTCGAAAACACGAAGCAATGGCTGAGCCAGTTTTACACAACTAGAACTAGGATCCCGATATCCTCTCTATTTAATACTTGTATGCTGTACAGGGTGGCCAACTAAGAATCCAGAGTTAGATACCTCTGTTGTCTTGAGAGATACAAAAAAAAGTTTTGCATTCAAATCAAAGTGATAACCGAGCTTCACATTTCAAAATTTCTTTGAAGTACACAGGGTGTTCCGTAAGGTCACAGCACATCAAACCTATGTTTTTTTCATTAGAACACCCTATATTTTATTTCATTTTTGAATTCTCCCTGAAGATCTGATTTCAACGACGTATCATACTTAGGGTCTAGCAGAGAAAGTAACTGACATATAGGGTGTGCAAAATCGATATTTTCCAAGTTCAGGATTTTTTTCTGTCGAAACTGTTCATTATTCGTCAAATCGGTTTACATGTCCCTATCTCAACTTTTCACTCACTATCAATTGGTGATCAATTGACATTTGATTGAAACAAATTATAAATTTAGATTTTTTGACCACCTTGTATCAATTTCAATTGAACACCAATTGATAGTGAGTGAAAAGTTGAGATAGGCACATGTAAACCGTTTTGACGAATAATGAACAATTTCGACAGAAAAAAATCCTGAACTTGGAAAATCTCGATTTTGCACACCCTATAATATATGTCAGTAACTTTCACTGCCAGACCCTAAGTATGATGGGTCGTTGAAATCAGATCTCCAGGGAGAATTTAAAAATGAAATAAAATATAGGGTGTTCTAATTAAAAAAACATAGCTTTGATGTGCTGTGACCTTACGGAACACCCTGTGTATTTCAAAGAAATTTTGAAATGTGAAGCTTGGTTATTACTTCAATTTTGATTCATGAATTCTCTTTGTATCTCTCAAGACAACAGAGAAATCGAACTCTAGAGTCTTAGTTGGCCACCCTGTACATTGAAATCTATTACTTATAAAGGCAGATGAGAATGAAATCATATTTTAGGCTTATTTTCAAACGGAAGATTTCAAGATCCGTTTAAGAGAATCTGCTGTTTCATCCATTAACAAAACAGACTATTTATAAAAAAATCCAATATTATCATCACATGAAATGCAAAACGAAGTCATCATCGAGAAAGTGAAATTGATTACAAAAACACTTAATGAAATTGAAAATTTGAGAACGAAATCGGAGAAAATCAAGAAAATTGCAACATGATATATCATTGAATAGCGTTTTCAATATCGACCAATTTCAAAATGTATCAGTGAAAAGTGGATTGCAGGAAAAAGTGGAAAATCAAAACAATAAATAAATAAGCAATTGCCATCAAATATACTTATGATAAATATACCGCAGGCTATGATCACCTGCTAAGAATTAAGTTTTCTCTTCCGTCTCATCATCAGAATCCTATTTAGGAAAATTGTGCACATAACTTTCAACCCTATAAGTATATCCATATGTCTATTTTGTGGAATGAAAATGTTGTTACATGCATTCTTTTCATTTTTATAACTGAAGTGGGTGTTTATGCCGTATTTCTATTTTTCATCTACGGCTATGATTAATTGGACAGAAAATATAACCTATAATATCGTATCTGACAATAGATATCATATAAATATTTCTATTCGCGATAGAAAATAAGCGTACGTCATCTATCGGAGTTTTCGAAAGCTGTCAAAGCGGCCTGTTTGTGTCCATTGGCTCACATTTGTTTTTTGTTTGTGATTATTGGTCAATCCTCCAGAACAAACCGCTCAGAAGTGTTCAAGTTCTCGCCATCAGGTGGGGCGACGTGTTATTTTCTATCGCGAATCATACGCCCCTACATATTCTAGTGGAGAATATAGATAAATAAGAGAGGGAATCATCATACACAAACCGAAACCTTCCTCCGAATACGATCAAGCCTGGGATATGCCACAGGTCGAAATGTCTAAAAAATTCAGCTTTGTGAACAACATAAAGCTGAGTTGTATAAGATTGGGAGCGAGATAACACCATTTCACAACACAGAAGTCAGGAGTAATA